TATTTTATAATAACAAAATAATCCTAATTCCTCTCTCCCATTCCTTGTATCATTGCTGTCATTAATTTCACTTACATGTATAAGCATAGGTAACAGGGTATGTACATGGTATATACATAATCGGGAGTGGCCACTTGCAAGATACTTACATGTATGTGGAACCAGAAAACAGAAGTCCTTGTGTTTATTTTTAATTTTATTCCAGATTTATCTGTGAAAATACATATTTAGAGTGAGAAAAATTATAACAATAGCATATTTTTATAAAATAGACTGTTATAAGTTAGTCAAAGGAGTTAGCAGATTATTCCACATGTGACAATTGTAATAAGTTCTTCTAGAGCCAAGTGAAGTAAGCAGATCTGTTTTTAAAAACAGTGGATTGAACCACCAAAATGTATAAAATAGGACCATACTTTTCAAACTAGAAGGAACTTTATAGAATTCTGTAGTCCATTCCTTTGATCAAGGTCAGATACCATAGGGAGCCAATGTGTGGTCTTCATCATTTGGACTTGCATTCAAATCTGAGGCTTTTGACATTCAGAATATGTGGTTTTGGCAAGTAAGTCACTCAACCCAGTTTGTACTTTTTAAAACGGACATGATATGACAATGGACAATGGACATAACAGTGTGTACCCTATAGTGTCATTCTGAGGGTGAAGTGCAATAATTTATGTGTAGTTACTTTGTAAATTCTGATGTGCTCACTACAGTTTCAAGTAGAACTACAACTGGTAGCAAGGACTGAATTTCTTTTGTTCCTGAGAACATGTGGTATTTGTTTTTCCACTCCTGAAATACTTCACTTAGGATAATGGTCTTCAGTTCCATAGAAGTTGCTGCAAAAGACATTATTTCATTCCTTTTTATGGCTGAGTAGCACTCCATGCTGTGTGTGTGTGTGTGTGTGTGTGTGTGTGTGTGTATTTTTTTTTCTCCTCTCATCTGTTGATGGGCGCTTAGGGTTGATTCCATATCTTTGCAATTGTGAATTGTGCTATGATAAGAAATGTTTAACCTTCTCCTATCTTAAGTGCTTTCTGTACTTTGTGCAGGTTCTTAAGTGGGAAGTGGAATTGATGGCCAGAATGGCAAAAACCATTGACAGCTTCACTCAGAATCAGACCAGGCTGGTGGTTATCATTGATGGATTAGATGCCTGTGAGCAGGACAAAGTCCTTCAGATGCTGGACACTGTACGTTTGAACCGTCTCGAAACTTGTCATTGTTACGCTGTGGCAGCCGAGAGGATGTGTGACTTCGTGAAATATCTCAAATGGAATGGAAACTGTGGTTTTATCTGATTAGTACTTGTTACTCTTGTGATTTTTCTTTTGTAAAAACAGCCATTCTTTACACAGAAACTTAGCAAAAATAAATGTTTCATCACAAAGAGATTTAAATAATTTTAGCTTAATGGCAGTGTCAGAAAAAAATGAATAGAGCATCTCTTAAGTCCATAGCATGGCTCCAGCTTTTCTTTGCAGATAGTTATGATTAGAATCTGAGGTAATTTAGGGAACCCACAGAATTTGTAGAGTTTTTTGTTAAAGTAGGGCATGTCGGCTGCTCTCTGTAAGGTTATGTTATTGGCAACAGAGGCTTAACTGTGGACAGAGACCAGTGAGCCCAGTACCTTCTGTGTGTTTCCCATGTGTGTTGACCTTACCTCTTACGCAGGCTGTAATCATCTCAGAGCAGGACAGTAGTAACTGTTTTCTTTTCAGGTTTAATCACTGTCAGATGGTGGCAAGCCCAGATTGAGCTGTCAATAAAATTTGCTTTCATGCAGTATAGATTCTGATGAAAAAGAAATACTATTTTAAAAAAACATAGTCACCAAAAGACGGCACATATTTTGAAGAGTTGTCTTGTTTTGGATAATTCAAAATTTATGTTACAAGTATACATTTCTTCTACCACAGGTCCGAGTTCTATTTTCGAAAGGCCCATTCATTGCCATTTTTGCAAGTGATCCACATATTATCATAAAGGCAATTAACCAGAACCTCAATAGTGTGCTTCGTGATTCAAATATAAACGGACATGACTATATGCGCAATATAGTTCATTTGCCTGTTTTCCTTAATAGTCGTGGACTAAGCAATGCAAGAAAATTTCTTGTGACTTCAACAACAAATGGGGACATTCCATGCTCGGATACTGCAGGTAAAGATCAAGCTCCTAAAGTACTTTGAGTTTGAAATAGTTTTTTAGTTTTTCATGGTGACTCTCCTTTTACCTTGAAAAATATTGTTGATAGTTCACGTCTCTTTAATATAATATACAACAGAATTTTACAGTAAGCAATGCTGTCGATAAATTCTTTAAGGGATACAAGAAGATGCTGACAGAAGAGTTTCACAAAACAGCCTTGGGGAGATGACAAAACTTGGTAGTAAGACAGCCCTCAATAGACGGGTAAGATGCCATTCGTTTTGAGCTACATGTTATTGCTATTTATTTGAATGCAAATAAAATTAAGGTGATGCCACTTAAATAATCTTTTGTAAATATTGCATTAAGCTCTTCAAAAAAGTGTTATCACTGAATTTCCTTTCAGCTTAAGGTGTTTCAGGGACTGTGTGTACCTAGAGCCCTAATGACTGTACATCACATAGGGGTCCCTGTCCTCTCTCAGCCTATTCTCAGCCTAAGTGCTGATCCAGACCCCAGGCCAATTGAATGGAAATCTCTTGAGAGTGAGATTTTTAAAGCTTGCCAGATGCTTTCATCCAGGATTGGGAACCGCTGTGTTCATTCCTAGTCAGGTTGAGATTATTACTGTTGCTGCCACAGATGTGGGGGAGAAAGGTTTGTAGTGTGAGAAAACTCCTGGCTTTGTCTTCCTGTTGGCCTTCCTCCTTCCCTAATGTTTGTCCCTAATGTTTGTGGGATGTGTACTCTTTTGTCTGTAGCCACACAGAGATTTTTGTACCCTTCCCAGCTACCTTGGGTTTCTCCTCCAGCACTGTCCCTGTCCTCTCCCATCTTGTCTGTATGGCCATGTTCCTGTGTGTGTCTATATACAAATGACAGGAAGACGTCCACTTGCAGGAGAGTTGTGGTAATAGTTCCAGTTAGGGGCAGCTAAGTTGGGCTGCCATTAGCATTTTTTCTGATTGGCTACCATTAAATTTGGACATTTTACTCTAAAAAAAAGCCTTCATGAACATTTTGATTTTATGCTTCTGCCCTTTACAGGTATAGGTGCAAAGTTATTGTGATGAATGACAATTAATGGCACTAAATTCAGAAAAGTGATTTATCATTTCGAACTTCTCTCCTGGCAGTCTGGACTCTTGGGCACCCCTTGGTTGCATCATGACCTTAGACGAGGACACACCTTCAGTGTGCCTGTTCATCCTCTTGGAAGACGGAATTCCTTAGCCCACCTCACCCCTGGAGTGCCTTTAATTCTTATGGAGATGTGAGGATAGTTAGAGCAGCTGTTCCTTTGACGTGAATATCACACACTTAAAAATAACCTAAAAATCAAAATACTGAATCCTTAAAACCAGACAGGGGCTTATTTGCTGTATTACTTCAGGGTTTCTATAAATACTGAGCCCCCATAGAGTTTGAATATAATTCTCTTTACACAATTTTGCTTATAATCTTAAAGGCATTGAGCTTTCTCTAACTATACAACTATAAATCAAAATGCATCTGAAGCTAAATCATAGGTTTTGATATAGTTGCTGCTAGTATCACTTTATAACTGCTCTATAAAAGTTCAGCCTCAGGGATAATAATCACTGCTCTATAAATATTTCTCTTTGACTAAAATTTTGAATTTTTTGTTATTGTCGTAAGTATCTATTAACTTCTCAGAAAGACTTCAGTTCTCAGACTTGAAGTGCAGGTTCGTTCTCATTGGTGACACGCTGTTTCAGGATACTTACCGCAGAAGGCAGATGCAGCGGACGATCACTCGGCAGATGTCCTTTGATCTTACGAAACTGCTGGTTACTGAGGACTGGTTCAGTGACATCAGTCCTCAGACCATGAGAAGATTACTTAATATTGTTTCTGTGACAGGTGACTTTTGTTTCTTATTGCCTATGGTAGATAATAAGCTTTAACATTAACAAAGCAATTTAATTTCAAAGACAAAGGGATCTATTGTGGTTGTATGTTTCCGTCTCTGAATACCAGCTTTATTTGTGTTAAGTGTATCTAATGAAGTCAGTATTAATTTTAACAATGAAAATCAACCATCAGTTGTACACTATTATTTTAAAACTTGATGCTTTTAAAAATCTTTTACCTCATCTTAAGTGTAATTTTTCTCTTTATATAAAGATAATTTTATGCCAATTTATATATAACTGAGTATAATTAACTTATAATTTAAAATGTTGAAATTCAGATTTTATATGCTATTATTCTGTTTTAATTTTCATATACTTTAAAAATATTGACAGTAATATTGAGGATTATTGCCCTATGACTGAATTCCTTGCATGGAATTCTGATCTTCACCTTGTTAATTCTTATTTGCTAATTAGCTTTGGGGCAGTGATTTAGCACTTGTAAATATATGTAATTTAGCTTGTAAAATATATGTCTCCATATGGCATTGATTTGCAATATTTACTAGTGTTATATTTGCAATATAACACTTTGTAATATTTACTAGTGTTAACTCTGAATACACTAGAATTGTGTTTTATATTAATGTTAGGGTTCATGCTATGAATTATATTCCATGTGAGGTTGTATCTAATGTATTTACAATAATTTTGGTAATTATATCCTTTTAAATGAGGTCTCAAGCCTCACTATACTTACTTGCTATGTTTCAGCGATGGAGATGGTTTAGCATGTTATCAGCGTATACGTACTCATTTAACAAATGTGTGGCGGGTGTCTGCCTTGTGCCAGGTACCGGTCTGGGCATTGTGGAGATAGGCAGTGAACTAGGTAAAGTCCCTGCCCTAATTGGGAAGACAGAAAGATGCTGTGTTGTGTAATGATGTGTGCCATGAAACAAGACTGTGGGAAGGAGCTAGCACTCCCTGTCACTCGAAAATTACTCCCATCAACGCACGAACAGATTGTCTCTCCCTTCGCTAGAAGACCTTTTGACTCTTGCTACCACTGCCTCTAGCCACTGCCCACTTCTCAGCAAAGCTCCTGCAGAGAACTCTGTGTCCCTGTGTCCCTCTTCTCCCTCTATTCCCTCTCAGCTCTTTGAATACTCTCTTGCTCTCAGTCCCATAGCAAAATTGCTTTTTCAAGGTCACCAATGGCTTCCACTTAAGTGTGGCATTTTGGAAGTCAAAGCATGGAAGTCTTTCAAGGCAGAAGAGTGACCAGCACATTGTCAGATGCTGCTAATGGGGTCAAATAAGACCCTCGAGGACTGGCCTGGCCATTAGGTTTTGTAACACAGAAACCTTGTGCATATATTATTGTACCCTAGGTCTCCAATTCAGTTCTAAAAGGTTTTTTCATCAGCTTTTTCAGTTTATAAGTAAGTTCTAGAGGAAGTAGATTGGCAGTGTTTAAGCCTGTTGTAATACTTTGCTTTTCGTTGCCTGGTTTTTTAAACATTAGTTCTGTGTTAACTTGTTTACACTCTACTGAGAGTAGAACTCCTCCCTCCTCATCACAATTTTTTATTAATCCATTTCATACTTTTTTGTTTTATTTATTTGTCTGCTCCACTGAGCATGAGCTTCATGAAGCCTGGAACCATATCTATTTTGTTGAGTGTTTTATCCCTGGCACTAGTGGATCATTGATTGTGACTCTTGTGAGTTTCTGTAGCCTTCAAATGCTTGTGACAGTAGCTAACTTGGGTGGAATGTGAAGACCCTGTCACTGATCTAGTAGACAGGATCCCACCTTCCAGGGAAAAGAATCCAGTGATGAAAATGTAGTTTCCATGTGTGAGCAGATTTGCTGAGGGAAGAGAGTCTGGGGATATGGGAAGAATTGGAGTGGGGATTGTACATCTATATCTATTAGTAGTAGGGAAAGGAATAATTCACATTTCAATCAAAACAAATAGATGTCTTAGTCTAGATACAAACTAAATTGATAATGATGAAGTAAAACTGACAGTTTTTTAAAATTAAAAAGCAACAGTTCCAGCAGTTCAGAATCCCTGCCAAATCAGGGTGAAACCGATGGTGCAGTGAAACAAAGCATCTGCACTGAAAGTTTGAGGATCGTAGCTGCCTACATGTAAGCATGCCCAGTGGTAGAACACCCCAGCAGTAGGCAGGGTTGTTTTAGAATATGTAAATCATTTTCGAGAAATACTATAACTCAGTTGGTAGGTTACTTACATAGGCTACTCTTAGTACATAAAGATGAACGCATATGGGATTGCTCATTCACCCATAATAAAACCAGAGAGGACTAGCATGTTTGGCTGTGTTTAAGGCTGCAGTCTCCAACCCCCCGGCCAGGGACTGTTAAGAACCAGGCTGCACAGCAGGAGGTGAGCAGTGGGCCAGCCTGTGAAGCTTCATCTGTATTTACAGCCGCTCCCCATCGCTCACATCACCGCATAAGCTCTGCCTCCTGTCAGATCAGGGCAGCATTAGATTCTCATAGGGGCACGAACCTGACCATAAACTGCATCCGAGGCATCTAGGTTGTGTGCTCCTAATGAGAATCTAATGCCCCATGATGTGAGGTGGAGCTGAGGTGGTGATGCTAGTGCTGGGGAGCGGCTACAAATATAGATTATGATTGGCAGAAAGGTTTGCACAATAAATGTAATACGCTTGAATCATCCCCAAACCATCCCCCACCACTGGTCTGTGGAAAAATTGTCTTCCATGAAACCGGTCCTTGGTGCCAAAAAGGTTGGGGACCGCAGCTCTAAAGTACAGTCTGCTAAGAGCCTATCAATGGACCTTAAAACCAGTGGCACCTTTTTGGTGCCAAAAAGGTTGGGGACCATAGCTCTAAAGTACAGTCTGCTAAGAGCCTATCAATGGACCTTAAAACCAGTGGCACCTTTTTGGTGCCAAAAAGGTTGGGGACCGTAGCTCTAAAGTACAGTCTGCTAAGAGCCTACCAATGAACCTTAAACCAGTGGTACCTTTTTGGCATCAGAGACCGGTTTTATGGAAGACAAATTTTCCATGGACTGGGGTGCGGGCTAGGGGATTGGGGAGGGAGGTGGAGCTCAGGCCATGAAGCTTCCCTGACTCCCGCCTGCCACTTAACTCCTACTGTGCCCCCACTCCCCCCCTTCTTAAGATTCAAGGAAGATAATTTTTCCACGAGAGGGGTTGGAGAGGTATAGGGCGACAGGGGATGTGGCAGAACTCTGCAGCCCAGAAGTTAGGGACCACAGCTTTAGAGGATCAGGGCCCATCATGGGTGAATTGATGTTCTACTGTATGATTGTGGATGGCGGCCAGATTACATATATGCCTGCCTCCATTGTGGCCAAAGAGGTGTATTTCACTAGTGGCAAATCCAAATTTAAAAATTTACTTTAGAATTAAACAGAATTGTTTTTAAGCCCTAAAAGGCCTTACAATACAGCTCTGTGGATTCTAGAAGCCATATAAGTACTAGATTGAATTTGTAGTATAAATTAAATGGCAAATTAAAAAATTTTCGTATTAAATTGTTTGTGAACATACTAAATATTTTGGTTAACATAATATTACACATCTTTTAATTTTAAAATGTTCTCGTATTCTTTAAAAGGGCGGTTACTGAGAGCCAATCAGATTAGTTTCAACTGGGATAGGCTTGCTAGCTGGATCAACCTTACCGAGCAGTGGCCGTACCGGACTTCATGGCTCATATTATATTTGGAAGAGACTGAAGGTGTTCCAGATCTAATGACATTAAAAACCATCTATGAAAGGTACTTTGTTTGACCTCTTTGTATTTAACTTGATCTTATGTTGAGTTAAAAAAAAAAAGTTAATGCATATCAAGCAAACTAAATATAAAATATGTATAAAATATGCACTTTGGATTTAACTGATCATTCTTAGTAATTCCGTTATAATATTGGAGTTCTTTTAACACAGGTATACATCCCATCATATAAAATTTACAACTTTATTTGGACATATTCTTTGTTTTTCAGGTATATAAAGTTGTATAAGTTACCAGTTTCTTGTCAAATTCACAAAGTTATAATTCCTTTGTTTTATAAAACACTTCAATTGTTTTGTAACACTTCAAAGGTTTCAATTGTTATTCCAAATAAACTATCTCTTAGAAAAAAAGATAATACAAGGGAACTATACAAATAATTTTATAAAATGGGGTATAATTGAAACCACTGTTTTAAAAATGTCAATGAAATATTAAATATAACAAAGGATTTAGTATATCATTTATATATTAAAACTTTTAAGATTTCAAATAATTTTTCTTAGAGTATTGTCAGCATTAGTTTTCATAATTTTCTAATCCCTGTTTTTTATGTGCATATTTTACTTAATGTTGTGTAAGTAAATAACTGGTTTTAGAACTGTAGAGGGTTGTTGTAGTATTAGTTTTCAGATTTGAGCTCCTCTAGGTTTTGCTGTTTGTGCTAAATTAGTAGTTTAAACCCTGTGTGCTGTATCAAGTAGGTGTTCCAGTAGATACAGTGATATGTAAGTACCACAGGCCTGTGGAAAAGTGGTGGTGAATTGCATCTGGTCTTCGATGTTTTAGAAGTCATCTTATTGTGAGATACATGATTGGTTTTTCTCTTGGTTGTGTAGTAAAATACTAAGTTTTATTTCCTGAATAAACATCTGCATCTATTATAACACAGGTGCTGGGTAATTATGAGTGCTTGCTAGATGAGCACAGTAATAATGAAACAGTTAAAACTTAACTTTTAAAAAGTTTTAACTGCTTAGTCATAATTCATACCAAAATAATGGGATTTATTTTTCACATGGTATATTTATACATGAAGCCCTATTTAACATAAACATAGTCCTTTGACACTCTCATTTATCCTTGAGATTGTTGTTGTTATTATTTGTGTATAAACAAAAATATGCCCAGAAAAAGGATAAGCCTTCATTTAGGAACAATGAACTGGATTTGAGTTTAGAAAAAATTTCAGGTAAAATAGAGCGATGGCTTAAGAAATAGTGGAAGTCATTTGAGACTGCTTTACATTCTTAGATTGTGTCTGAATTGGTATTGTTCCAACAGTAATATATTACTCTAGGAATATATTTCTGGGTTTCAAGAAATGTGAAAACTTGGGAACAAGAAAACTATTTGTCTCGCAGCGATCCCTATTTAAGGAGGACAGGTTGCTTAGCATCCCTAACCTCTCTTCCTAAACGCCAGGTACTCTAATAGGTATCTTTTTTTTTTTTTTTTTTGAGACAGAGTCTTGCTCTGTTGCCTGGGCTTTTATTTATATATAAATATTTAGTTGTCCAGATCATTTCTTTCTATTTTTTAGTAGAGACGGGGTCTTGCTCTTGCTCAGGGTGGTCTTGAACTCTGGACCTTGAGCGATCCACCCGCCTCGGCCTCCCAGAGTGCTAGCATTAGAGGCGTGAGCCACCGTGCCTGGCCTCTGCTAGGTATCTTATGTATTCTTGAATCTTTGTAAAGTTCAGAGAGGTAGTTAGAATGGTTCCATACCATTAAGAAGGAACATTGAAGTTCAGAAAATTTAAGTAACTTGCCAAAGTAACAGCTCTTAAGTAACAAAGCTAATATTTCAATCCAGGTATCTCAGACTCCACATACTACTTTTGAGCCTGTCACTGTTCTAAGCACTTTACATTTTAACTTCGTTGAGTCTTAAAATTCTGAGGTAGGCCCTGTTATTATATTCATTTTGCACATGAGAAAACTGAAGCCCACAGAAGGTAAGTCACTTGCTGAAAGTCTCATAGCCAGTCAGTGGTAGAGTTGACATTTGAAACAAGCCACTGTGGCTCCAGAGTCCATGCTCTGAAGTGTGCTCACCTGCCCCTCATGACATCGTTGTAGTATTGAAACTTCTTTAAGCTATAGCACTGCCAGGCACACTGAAGAAACTGAAATTTTATCATGAAATTAAGGGTCTGAAGTTTTGACATTTTTGTGTTCTCCATTTCTTTCTAGAACATTACAAGTTATAATAGCATATTTAATATTTAGGATATTTCAATTATTTCTTGTTAACTTTAATAACTAATCTATGTAGCAGACATTGCTCTATTAGTTTTCTGCAACTTTTCTTTGCCTTCATAAAAACATCAGTTTTCCCTATTTAAAATAGACTATTATCACCTTTTCCAGTTTTCCTTCTTTTTCTTTCATTTTTTTTAAACAGTGAATAATTCATGTCAGTCTTTGGTTTTGGTACGGAATAGGACTCAGGCGAGCCTCCTTACCTTCCTTTAGTTGAATGTGACGTGCAGAAGTATCCTGGGTCTCAGGATCATAGGGACATTGATTGGTATCCCGCACTCTAAGGACTGTGTGGCCTTACGTGTCCTGTGAAGGGGGTAGGAAGAGTGAAAGAGAGTCTGTGTCCCCAGACACAGGAGATGGAAGCAGGAGAGATGTGAAAATAAACAGAAAGTTTTAAAAGCCCTCCAAAAATATCCGTATTTCAGTTCCAGCCAGCAGAAATTTATTAAGCATCTACTGTTTGCAGCACCTGCTGCTAGATGCTGGGGATGTCATTATTTGGATAAAACATGTCTTCCTTGATACCTTGGCTCTTCTTTTCTTAAGGAAACCAAGATGAGTAGGTGTTAGAAGTCTAATTGTTTCCCTTGGTTTTTTTTTTGGCTACACTAGTTCATATTCTTCATTAACATGTATTTAGTGTGAGTTTTTATTAGGAGCCAAAGCTTATATAGTTGTTGTTCATGCTTTTGTGTGTTGCAGGGGCTGGCTGGGGAGGTGGGGTGAACGAAGGGACTAATACAAAAGCATCATATGCCCTTGAGGAGCTTATATATTTTTACTTAAAAAATTGTTTTCTATTTGAAAATACTTTCAAACTTACAAAAAAGGTACAAGAGTAAGAATAGTATGAAGAACACCCATATACCCTGTATCCAGATTCACCTGTAGTTAACATTTTAATTTTCGTTTGCTTTGTCATTTGTACTCACTTTGCCTCCTGTGCGCTCATTCTCTCTCTCAGGTATTTTATACACCTGTCTCCATCTACCCATACCCACACACACACGCACAAATGCTCACGTGTTTTTCTAAACCATATGAGTGTAAATTACATATAGCATATCATTTGCCACTAAATACTTGAGTGTTGCAGAATTTATGATCTGAGTGAAGGTAAAATGTAAACATATTTGAAGCAACTAGAGGAAAACAAAAATACGATGTCTCCAACAATGAGCCAGTTAAGTTTTATCAATACCAGGCTAAATCATTGTTTTCTAGATGGTAGAAAACTTCTTAGTCTAAAACTACTGTTGTTGCTGATAGAAAATTGCTTAACCTTGTAAAACTTTCATTCTAATTTGCAGCATTTTCAGTCTCATAGGAAATTCTCAAAAATTTATATTTTTAATTAAAACATCTTATAAACAAAAAGGAATATGTAACAGTTTAAAGATAATAGTAATTATTACACACTGCTTATGAAATAGAGCATTTATGAAAGAAATATTTTGGGGAATATCTTTCATCATATAATAAAAATAACTTGGAGTGAATTTTTATAGGGGGATATTTTATTTTGTTCAAGTAAATATACAATATTATATACTGGAGGTATAAAGAGGCGACATGAACTTTGTTTGCTGTTAAAGCAACCCATTAGTTTAGACTTCAGCCCTTGGTGGGCTCGCTGTTCATGAGTGGGTGGGATTGAGGGTAAGTCTGAGATTTTTTTTTTCTTTTTCTTTTTTAAGTGAAATAAGCACGTATGTCTTATATGCCTACAATTACAAAAAATATTTTGCAGATAGTCTAAGGAGGAGAAAAAGATCATATATAGTAAGTAGTCTTTGAGAATTCATAAGGAATTGACTAAAAATAATTAAATATAATTAAGTGATTTGGAACGAAAAACTATAGGAAGACAATTTGATCAACATATTGAAAAACCAGATATTGGCATATGTGAGAATAATTTAGATGACTCTGTTTCTAGTTAACCATGGTCGAGTTCTTTGATACTATTGCTTGTCATTTGAATAATAAAAAGTTTTATTTACAGCCGACAAAAAGCAGCAGTATATAATTGATATTCATTTATTTTATTAAGAAATCTGATTTGGTAAAAACAATCAGAAAATAGTATTTTTAGCGCTAGTAGTAAAATTTATTTTTTTAATCCGTAAAAAGCCTCATTTATTTTTATAGCAATTTGATGACACATCTGCTTGCTTTATTCAGTTGAAAAAGAAAATGTTGGTTCTTGGTGTTTGGTAAAATTGCTTTGTTAAATTATTTTCTAAATTGTTCAACTTTTAACAAATGACATTTGATACTAACACTGGAAAGCAATTTCAGCTAATTAAGTAGATCCCTCTATAAACCATTGGAACATTAAGATGACATACTGTTCATTCAAGATTATTTTAATTGGTACAATTATTGTAATTTTCTTGCAATTATGTGTTGAGCTAAAAGCTTTTGTCTAGATCATTTGAGGGGTTTTTTTGTTAACATACATTTAGTAAGAAGAAAGAGAATAAAATAAAAACTGTAGGGAAAGATTTTCTGTCTACTTTTTATTACAGATTTTTAGACAACCATTGAAATACAGTACTTCAGTATAAAACTTTATTTCTGGTATTTTAAGCAATGATAGAGATTTTTAAAAGATCAACTTAAGTAGTTTTCATGAAGATAACGTTTTAAATTTCTGTTTTAATACTCAAGCAATCTTGAGATAATATGGTCAGAATAATTTTGTTATAAGGA